TTGCACCTGAAACTAAAACTACCCCCGTTATTCCGACTTCGCGAAACGTAAAACGTTAAGTTAATCAAATAAAGTCAATGTGTGCAAGTCGATTAGCGTTTAATGGTTCGAATAATTCGAAAAATTGATCGAGATCGTAATTTTAGAAGGATTTATTTGATGCAGTTGCTAAAATCGTGTGCGGATATTTTCCCTTTGTTTACATTTAATATTATACAGCACGGCTGTCATATAGATCGTTGCATCGTTACATTATTCAGTGCATAATAAAAAATAAATATCCCCTCTGGTTTAATCTCAGTATCAGTACAAAGTTACAAGGAAAATCAAAAATTTTGGGCCCGTTCACTTTCATTTTTGAATGTGAATTATTTATATATTTATAAAGATATTAAACTCTTTTGTCTGGTGGTACTTTTCCCGTTAAGATATTTTTGCTAGAAGTAAGGGAATTCCCATAAAATTCTTTAAGTGACTCATTGCGCCAGAAAACGCCTAATTCCCTTCAGGCAGTGCGATTCTGATTAGTTGTTACGTTACGTCCCGTTTCTCTACCTACCGTTCGACAGGCACATCGGGTACCCTTTTCAGTACCGTTTAAAATTTGATTCTAATCATCTCTCGAGTAACGGCTACGAAAACTACGCTAACGCATGGTGCAGCATGGTTTGTTTTGAAGGTTTAATTTAGAAAATAAACCAGAGGCATGGCTTATTGAGTTTTTAGAATTAATAAAATAAGAAATAATAGGTATTGTACCTAAATAGATATTTTAATGCTTTATTGTCAGTGTTCCAGTAGTCAATGTTTTATATGATTGGTATTACATCTATATCTTGAAGTATTTTTGTCCTCATTTTTGAGTGCCTGGCATTTTATATTTCTGAACTTTAAACATTTCTTATTTATATTATTGTATAACTGTTTGTATTATAAATTGAGCCTATTCTGTATATATTCAGTATTAAATAAAAAAAAAATTATACAAATAATAAATTATATTTCCTAAATAAATTAATGTATGCTGTATTTGGTTTTCTTCTGTAATATTAGGAAAAAATATTGTTTTTGAGTTTACTATTTTTTTATAATGTGGTTAAAATAAAACATAACTCCTACAAAAAAAAATACAATGAGGACTAATTAAAAATATGCCACTTGCAAAATGTTCGTGTTCACACATTATATTTAAAATTGTAGACAAATGTTCTGAATTATTTTAAAAACTCATTTTTTTAATTTCAACACAAAAATATCAAAATAAAGCATTTCTTAACCATACTTTTACTAATTTCACTCACGTTACGCTACCTCTTTAGGTCCCGAGTGAATCTGACAGCTATACTCGAGACATCTGGAACGTAAGTTGGAATTAGAATCGCTCAAATTGTAAACTCGGGACATCACGTCCCGAAAACGTCAATCAGAATCGGGTAGCAGGTCTTGTATCGGTTAATAGTTAAAAGGGCGCGGTTGTCGGATGTATCATTGCACCACCATTCCTCTTCTGCATTTATTAAAGAAATTTACATGATAAAAATATATTATTTTTTAAAAATAATGTGTTTATATTTTCAGATAAAGCTGGAAGCCTTACCTTTTTTAAATTTTAATAAAAACAATTAGTATTACTCAAGCTGAATATTACCAGATCGAAATTTTATTTGAGAAAATATATCTGGTAAACGTGATAACGTTGTAAGTACTTCTAAATAGTGTTGTCTACACACACTTCTAGAAATAAATGCAACGTTGCCACGTTTACCAGATAAATATTGCAAATCAAATTTCTACTTTTTGATTATGGTCTGGTTAATTTTCAGCCTGAGTAATAATAATTGTTTTAATTAAAAAGTAAAAAATAAGCTCCCAACTTTAAATCTGAAAATATAAGTTCATGATTTTTAGAAAAATAATGCAATTTTACTATTTAAATACTATTTAAATGCAGAAATGGTATATTAGGGATACTTCCGACAACCCCGCCGTCTTTAAGTATTAACCGATACGAGATGTGAAGGGAATTAGGGGTTTTCTGACGCAATGAGTCACTGAAAGAATTTTATGGGAATTCCCTTACTTCTAGCAAAAATATCTTAACGGGAAAAGTACCACCAGACAAAAGAGTTTAATATCTTTATAAATATATAATTAATTCACATTCAAAAATGAAAGTGAACGGGCCCATTAACTTGAACTTAAAAGTAAGATTAAAACGGCGTATCAAAATTATATTGTAAAAGCATAAAGTGATATATCTATTAACTCCAATAAATTCTGGGACTTTCCCAATAGAAAAAAAATCTAGTGAAGTTTTTAATGAAATGAACATAATGTACTGGCTAATCCTAGTTTTGCTGATCTTTTTAGCAAGTCCTACGTTCAGTCTAAAGTTTCCTGTGCTGATATGAAATCTAAATAATATAATATAAAATGTACACTGAAATAAATTAATGCGTTTCCAAATTAGGCCCAGTTGTACCACTCCAGTTTAAGGGAGGTTCAAGTGAACTTAGTTTAGACTGTGACAAACATCGTACTAACAATACCCAAATGTCACAATCAAAACCAAGTTTAGTTGAACCTCGCCTGAACTCAAATGGTACAACTGGGCCTTAATGTCGTTATAACTTTGATGTTAATAAATATTTTTTAATGGTAATTTTATTTAGCATAAGTAGCTAGTTCATTAATATTAGAAAATGTCTTTAATTTTTTAACAAGAGATTTGTTTTTTGGAATGAGTAAAACTCATTCATTAGAATTTGGGTTAATAAATGTAATAGCCGATAAATATTCCTTTATTTTTTTTATGATATGATAAATTTTTCGAATTCCTTAGTCAAAACGTAAACAACTATACAGGGTGTTAAAAAAAAGTGTCACAAAATGAAATGGTGAATAGTATGACCCAAAATAAGCAGAAAAGTCTTAATAAATATATGACCGCAAATTAACGGTTTCGAAGATACGGACCATTTTGTGTTTATAACAATTTTTTATTATTATAAAAAAACAATGATATTTATAAACAATCAATAACAACATAGAGTTAAATGAGATGTTCAAATACTGACGTAGGCTTCCCTCGCATTGCCATTTGCACGACCGTACATAAAATGCATGTCAGCTAATTCAATATTAGTGTAAACAGGCATAACGAAAATTTATAAAATTATTCACCCACAACAAAATAATAACTGCAAATAGTATCTATGAAAAAACATCGGTATGCTCCGATAAGAAAAGCAAGTTTTTGAGAATGAAAAAAGATAATCAAAAAATGATACAAAACACAAAACACTCCGTATCTCTGAAACCATTCATTTGCGGACATATGTTTATTAAGACTTTTCTGCATATTTTGGCCCATACTACCCCCCCGTTTTATTTTGTGACACTTTTTTTTAACACCCTGTATAGATAGAAGTGGTTTGCATCGTTGAATTTCTCTTCAAAGGACTTATAAACTGGTTTTTACTAATTTATGATGTGTTGTCTGTAGAGCAAGATAATAGAATTTTCAGATTATATTTTAAAAGTAAAATATTTTTGTTAATTAATTTTACTATCGTTTAAAACTAGGAAGAGGTTTTTTTTTCTCTCTCCTGGGCTCGTCTGACTATGTGTCTCCGAATAACACTGAAGCCTATTGGCTTATTGTGTTTTACCCCATGTTAGTTCATATCACCCACTCTATCACCTTTGTACCTTGTACAAGTTTGTACAGATCCTTGGGTGAGTGGGTTCTATACGCTGTTGGATCAACCTGGGGTTGTCCAAAAAGAGCCTGTCTTTTGCGTTCTAGAGCTTCGCATTCTCACAGTATGTGTTTGGCCGTTTCTGGTTTCTTGTGACATAGTCGGCACATGAGTTCCCCATTGTACACGCCAATTTTGTTCAAGTGTCCCTTTACTGGGGCGTGCCCAGTCATGAACCCTGTTATCACTTTCAACTGGTTCCTATTCATTAAAAGTAGTTCTCCAGTTCTTTTGGGACATGGTCTGCCTATGAAGGCTTTTCCATGTGCCTGTTTTGGGGTGCTTCCCCAATAGTTGATATGTTGTTCCCGAATCCAGTCATTTATAAAACCCCGGACTGTACTTTTTGGTACTCCTGTACGAGCCAGCCGATGCCGGAACATTTCTGGCCCGCTTAGTTCCACTTCGAGTGGGGGGAGTGTGCGACTCAGATCGGGGCCTTTTATCCCCTTTCTTCGTTTGGTCCTCCCTCCGTTGGGTTCGTTTTTGGGCTGCATTCTTGTGATGATTTTCCTCCGTCCACGTTCCTGCAGCTATTTTTCTTTCCTTCAGAAGCTTCTTTCTCTCCGCTCCTGAAGGTTTTTTCGGTCTATCAGCAGGCTTAACCTCTGCTTTTTTGACCTTTTCTTTTGTTTGGGAGCAGTCGTCTGTTTTTACAGATCCACCTCCTGCTAAGGGGTTAGAGTCCTCTGCTTTCGCAGTTCCTCCTTCCCTGAGTTGTCGGAGTCCAAAGCTAACGCAATCTCTCCGACAGTCATGTTCAAGGAGCCTGAGTCGTCTGTATCCGACTCTTCTCCTTGGGTGTCCATTTTTTTCAAATTATTTTCACTCATATTTGTTCCCACGAGTATGGGGGAAGGGGTTAGTCCAACTCTGCAGTGCCCCCCGTACAGAGTCAAGGCTAGATACTTGGGGGTTTCGCCCGGTTCCCCCAAGGGAACGTTCGCAACCGCATATTAAGCCCTGCGGCCATTCATCCTTAGGCACGTTACCTTACACCGTGGCGTTGGGCTTTGATGGAGTGCCATTTGGTTAGTCAATAGTGGTGCTTCTTGAAGCATCGCTATTGGCCTTATCCAGTGGTGCCACGAGGAGGCAGACACTCGATGGTTGCATTTCTCCATCGTCCCGTAGAAAAGTTACCTACCCACAAAGTAGGCGTATTAAGCGAGTGTGCAAGCAAGCAATCTAAACTACAAAGCAATGGCAACCCCACCCAGGAAGAGGTTGTTTGCATCGTTAAATTTCTCTTTAACAGCTCTACAAAATGGTATTCAAGAAAATAGGGTTTCCAAATCAAATTTGGGGGAATTTTAATGTTCTAAATTGTTTATAATCTCGAGAAAATCACTGTGGAATAAGACGCAAAAGAATCGAGTTTAATTGTATTGGGTAAGTTGTAGAATATAATAATTAGACTTGGCTCCGGGACTAGCAATTTAAATTTAACGAATAACATCGAGAAAACGAAAAATCGTCGAAACGAAAATCAAAGGGAAATGAAAGGGTTTCGTGCAGCTTATACAGTTCTCTTGACATACCGAAAGCAGGGCGTCGGGCGTCGATTATGTGAAAGTCGAGGAGACGTCTCACGCGATCATCAGCGCCTCGTTTCATACTTTTACTTTATACGTTTCAAAACTACACAAAACTTTGTTGTTTCCGTTTTATCGTGTGGGGATGTATCAGCTGGAAAACCACTTCATGACTGCAATATGATGACTAAGACAACGCAAGAACGATTTGGGAGTATTAATTTTCATTAGATTTCAATTTGAGTAGTGTTGAGTGTGACTCTGTTGTAATTTAACAATTAGGCGTATTTTTTTTCAAATTTGTAATGAAGTTTTTGCAATGAAATGTGTTTTAGGCTCAAGCACATGAGGATAAAATAACTTAAACAATCACAAATTATAAAGGAGACCACCAAATTTCAAGATATTAATGTTAAAAAACAATTAATAGTATTAGTTAAATTTACTTATTATGCTCTAGATAAGATAAGATACAAATTCTAATTTTAAAGAGTTCATAAAAAAGAAATTTATATATTATTAATTAAAGTTACATCAAGGAAAAAATGACTTAAATGAAAGTTGACTTAATTGAAAAAATCGAAATAAAACTTAATTATCGTTAATGCGTTAAAGCTATTTCGTGAGCTATTAGCTCTTTTATTTTTATTTATTACTGTAATATTTATTTATTTAAAACAGTTTATTTATTTTAATTTATATACATTAAAAACATTTATTTATTTATTTATTTATTTATTTATTTATTTATTAACTAAATTTATTTGTATAGTCTTTCTAGACATAATCCAACACGGCATTATAACCGACTAGCGCCGACTTTAAAGGGACCGCGCACATGGACGTATCGTTTTATATTATTAAAATTAAATAAATTAAATTATTAATTGGGTATAATTCTTCCATTATCAATAATTGGAAGGCATTAAATGCCGTTATTTAGACAGATGCACTTAATTATAGTTCTACTTGAAACTTAAAAAAAATATATTATTATAGCTCGTCAACTTGCTACAACTGAATATTAAATGACTGAATTTGGTGAAATATTCGGTAGAAGTTGTTCAGCAAACTAGTTCTCAAAAACTGCTGCATTCATATTTTCATGATAATCCAGCAGAGCTTTATTGATATTTTTTGCTGAAAGTAGCAAAGCATTTCCCCCTCGAGCATGGTGCATTTAAAACACAATTTTGTAAACCGTCTGCCCAACCACGTTGAACGACATCATGAGTGTCGAACCATGTTTCATCTAAATAAACTATATTTCTATTGCTATTTCTAAATTTAAAAATTTCCCTTAAATAAATTTGACGTAATTCCACAATTCGACGCGACTCCATAATGACATTCGGCTATCTAACTTTTTATATCTAAAACCACAAGTTATTAAAATTTGTCGAAGTGATTCTAATGATTTATATTTGAAATCTTCAAAATCTTGTAATTTTCTAAAAATTATCTATAAGGTTGGGATTTGGTTTTCTTTATACGTGTTGTAAATCGTTCGTCGAATCACATCTTTAGATGCATCATCTATCCGACGGCTGACGACACGTTTTCTTTTTTGACTGTGTGAAAGTGTGGAAAAGGGAATTTTTGTTAACTTACATATTCTTTTAACTGCATCTGTTTGTGAAATATTTGGATTTTCTGATTTAAGACAAACAAATATATTTAAAATGACCTGTTGAACTAGAATATGTCTTGGTTTTTGAATTCCCAAGATTGTGTTTCACCTTAATTGTCATTATTTTGAATTGCATTATTAATACGTATTTCATCATTAATTTGTACTGCATTTAATTGTACTTCATCATTATTCTGAATTTCATTATTTATTGCAATTTCATTATTAATGTGAATATCATCATTAATCTGCAATTCATTAGCATCTACATTTACCTCAAACGGTCTCCAGAAAGCCATCTCGTACAACACAAATCAACATCTAACAGAAACACCTTAAAATAAAAACAAGAAAAGTTTATAGGTATAACAAAGATTTCACACCGTGCACGCTACTGAATAACGACATAATAACCGAAGAGTCCGAGGATCGGTCTTTACCGTGTGCCATAAATTATAAAAACTTATTTCGAACACGCCTCCAAGTTCTCGATTGCGATGTTTCATTGGCAGACAAAGAAGATGATGGGCTTGTGACACCCGTCCACGTTGTCTAGCGGCTCCTGTGTTTTAAAAGGGGCTATACAATATTTTTCGCGCTTATTTGCAATGTGAGGATATAGCATTCTCAGCACTTATAACGTAAATTATTACGCGCCTCCGCTACAAACGCTATGTTGGATTGATTTTGGAAAGAGTATACTCAAAGTTACACTAATTATATCTCTAACACTTATACATTAAGAATATTTATCTTTACAAATTAAAAAGCTATCCTAAACTAAATCCATAATGACAATTTTGCTCTGTTTATATGAAAATGTGGCGACCCAGTCCTGTTTAGTGGAGTTCCTAGACGTTCTAGAGTAGCCGATACCAGAAATAACTAAGTTTCTGGTAGTTTTTACTGTTTCTAGGAGCTTCCTCGTAGCAGACTGAACGATTAAATCGACCAGACGCGTTGACGATAACAGAAAATAGAGAGCAGAGCCGGACTGGTCGAAAATAGCTCGCGAAAGGTTATCCTTATGAAGAAATGAAAAACTGCTTCTATCGATTGTAATATCCAGATTTAGAGATAATACTAGGCCAAAAAAATAATCACTGAGATTGATATTATTATTATTTTTACTGTACTAATATCTCAGAATAGTTATTGCTAATCACTATTTTTTTTTATAGAATGACATTGACAGAAACTCCAGTTTAGTACGTTCACAGCATGCCTCCATTTCTTCCGACGCCATCCAAACCGAACATCGTCGCTAATCGTAGCACCACGACGCCGATAACCACGTGGAGCGTCGCGACGCCTATCAACCGATGGCGACGATGAACGTTGGATTCGAAACCCCTCGATCGGCAAGAACGCGAGGAGCCAGTCGAAAGAATCGCGAGCGACGGCGAGTACGCGGACGTCGTGCCAAAGACGTCGGCGTCTCGGCGCTCATGTACGCTGCACAGCAAGGGGACGTCAACGTCGTCAGGAAGATTATCGGGGTTGAGGTTAGTATGTCACTGCATTAACATACTTCTTCGGTTCGTTTTTGCTTTGTTGTGCTTTGGCTTGTTTATAAAGAAGATTTACTTTTATTGGCTTTGCTTGGGTGCGAATTTGTTTCGTGAATGGCATGTTGAATGCGGCGAAAATTGTTTTTATTTTAATAAGATGCGAGATACGAATTTGTTTATTTTATATTTTAGGTTAGGGTTAGTGGATACAATGTTATTGAGGATAATATATACTTCAAATATTATTTTATGATAATTATTGCCCATTAGAGAATCTCTATTTATAAGACAAAATAAATAATTAGAAATAAATAAATTAATGAAAGTAACAGATCAAAAATAAATAAACAATACTATACAACTAATTAAAAATTATTTAACATGTCTAATTTACAAAAAAAATATAAATTACTGTAACGATAGTTCAATTTATTTATTTAAAACATACTATTTACAATTTATTTCTGATATACTAATTAATTTATATAACTTACAATTCTAATTTATTTATTACAATTTAACTTTATTCGAATCATCTCTATGCGGCACTTAATTTGAAACTTATCTTCCGTCTTCAAACTTGCGATATTTTATATCAAGCCAACTCTGTACCAGAATACTCTGGATTTTTCGAGAACTATCGAAAACTGCCTCTCTATGACTCATCGGCACGTACCGCTTTTCTGTAGTTTTTCGAAGCGTCAGCGGCATACCTAGAAGATTCCATGGCATGAGTCGGGTGGCAGACTCCAAGGTCGCGCTCTACAGAGACGACTTAGGCATTCCCATGACAGCACTTTATTTCAAAACCAGCAAATCGAAATTATTTTTTATTTTACGTGAATTTAAGAAAAACGGAATATTTTTCGTTTTTTTTTTTTAATTTTAGGTATATTAAATTTAAACATGTTATTCACCTATTTTTCAAAATTTCACATAAGAGGTAAATCACTGAAAATGTAGGGTGTACAAAAAATATATCCATCAGGATTTATGAAGTATTATAAAGAAAGAAAGATTTATAAAAGATTTATAAAGATTTATAAAGATTTATAAAGATTTATAAAGATTTATAAAGATTTATAAAGATTTATAAAGATTTTATAAAGATTTATAAAGATTTATAAAGATTTATAAAGATTTTATAAAGATTTATAAAGATTTATAAAGATTTATAAAGATTTATAAAGATTTATAAAGATTTATAAAGATTTATAAAGATTTATAAAGATTTATAAAGATTTATAAAGATTTATAAAGATTTTAAAGATTTATAAAGATTATAAAGATTTATAAAGATTTATAAAGATTTATAAAGATTTATAAAGATTATATAAAGATTTATAAAGATTTATAAAGATTTATAAAGATTTATAAAGATTTATAAAGATTTATAAAGCATTTATAAAGATTTATAAAGATTTATAAAGATTTATAAAGATTTATAAAGATTTATAAAGATTTATAAAGATTTATAAAGATATAAGATTTATAAAGATTTATAAAGATTTATAAAGATTTATAAAGATTTATAAAGTTATAAGATTTATAAAGATTTATAAAGATTTATAAAAGTTTATAAAGATTTATAAAGATTTATAAAGATTTATAAAGATTTATAAAGATTTATAAAGATTTATAAAGATTTATAAAGATTTATAAAGATTTATAAAGATTTATAAAGATTTATAAAGATTTATAAAGATTTATAAAGATTTATAAAGATTTATAAAGATTTATAAAGATTTATAAAGATTTATAAAGATTTATAAAGATTTATAAAGATTTATAAAGATTTATAAAGGATTTATAAAGATTTATAAAGATTTATAAAGATTTATAAAGATTTATAAAGATTTATAAAGATTTATAAAGATTTATAAAGATTTATAAAGATTTATAAGATTTATAAAGATTTATAAAGATTTATAAAGATTTATAAAGATTTATAAAGATTTATAAGATTTATAAAGATTTATAAAGATTTTATAAAGATTTATAAAGATTTATAAAGATTTATAAAGATTTATAAAGATTTATAAAGATTTATAAAGATTTATAAAGATTTATAAAGATTTATAAAGATTTATAAAGATTTATAAAGATTTATAAAGATTTATAAAGATTTATAAGATTTATAAAGATTTATAAAGATTTATAAGATTTATAAAGATTTATAAGATTTATAAAGATTTATAAAGATTTATAAAGATTTATAAAGATTTATAAAGATTTATAAAGATTTATAAAGATTTATAAAGATTTATAAAGGATTTATAAAGATTTATAAAGATTTATAAAGATTTATAAAGATTTATAAAGATTTATAAAGATTTATAAAGATTTATAAAGATTTATAAAGAGTTTATAAAAGATTTATAAAGATTTATAAAGATTTATAAAGATTTATAAAGATTTATAAAGATTTATAAAGATTTATAAAGATTTATAAAGATTTATAAAGATTTATAAAGATTTATAAAGTTTATAAAGATTTATAAAGATTTATAAGATTTATAAAGATTTATAAAGATTTATAAAGATTTATAAAGATTTATAAAGATTTATAAAGATTTATAAAGATTTATAAAGATTTATAAAGATTTATAAAGATTTATAAAGATTTATAAAGATTTATAAAGATTTATAAAGATTTATAAAGATTTATAAAGATTTATAAAAGATTTATAAAGATTTATAAAGATTTATAAAGATCTTATAAAGATCTTATAAAAGATTTATAAAGATTATAAGATTTATAAAGTTTTATAAAGATTTCTACTTGAAACTAAAGAATTCTTTGTAACTTATTTCTAACATGCTCCTCGGGTATATACCTAGACTAGACAGTCAGTGTCAAGGCATCGTCGCGTAAACAAAAATATTGAGTCGACGAAACTTCCTATTCATCCGATCAAAAGGAATGTTTGCATGTTTGACAGGAGTTTGCTCCCTTTGGGCTATGCTTGTAAACGAACCCCTCCGGTTGAATGCACTGTAATTATTTGATATTGTCATAGCAACTTTTGTGGTTTTGACTCGATTTACTTGTTAGATTATCGTAAATTTAGTATTTGTGAGGTAGTTTTGGTGAACAGTGATTATATCGGTTGTTGTGCCTGTATAAATTAATAACTTTTTGGTAAAAAAAAAATAGGTATATGTGCTGTATTTTAAGTAACTCTCAGTTTTGATACCATTTTTTAATGTTTTTTTATAATAATTATAGACAAAAACTTCCAGTGAGCAAAGATAAATCTAGGTGTGTCTAAAAATTGATAACAAATTTATAAAGTATACACATTTAAAAGGTCCAGATTTTTTAATATTTTAATATCACCTTCAAAGATGGTTTCTACAACTATATTTACAGCATTGGGATATTGGAAACTGTAAGATATACAAGGGAGATTAAATGAAACAAAAATTGGATATTTAATGGACTAACAAAGAGCAAATTTTTAAAATTTGATATTTCATAGAGCGAAGACATAAGAAAAATAATAAAAACGAAAAAAACTACCATAATAGTAGAGAAGTATCTAAAATAGTTTGATTATCAATGAACCTTAACAGAAAAAAAGTATTTGGTAATGATGGTAATCAACAAATATAGAAAATGACATCGCAAACAACTTTTATTTGAAAAATTTTCTTCTCCAAGCGTAAATAACAGATATATTCCTTAAAGTAGAAGAACGACTCCCTATAAAGTAAACCCCAGATGTTCCGACTATGCCCAAAATCTAATATATCAGCGCGGGATGGATTAAAACTTAAATTAAAATTTGATATGTTTCTTTTTATCGGTTTATGAATTATCGAGTATACAGATACACAGACACACACTGAGAGACATCATTGCGAAAATGGTCAAAAAGGAATCAGGGAATCCCCAAAACGTAAACATTTTATACTTTCCTTATCTGTACACAAACAGAAAAATAAAAATTTTTGTATGGCTTTTATGTGATGCATTAAATTTACTTAATTATTATAAATTTAGTTTTTAATGTATTTAGACTTAAACCATTTTTGTTAGCCATTTATTTGTATACTGATAATCTAGCTCTTTATTTATGGTTTGCACAACCGCTATTAACATCTTGTCTAACTAAATACAACAAGAAAAAAGCTGAAATTTACATTTCTTTAAGTTTCTCTACGTAATGCCGTTTTTTCCGTTTAAATATGACCAAGAATAACAAAGATATAAGTTTTGGGGCCCTTTTGGTTCGTCACTGCCCATGATTTTTCTTTTCAACGTTCATCTATACCGCGTTCTCTACATAATGCCTTTTTTTCCGTTTAAATCTGACCAACAATAACAAAGATATAAGTTTTAGGCTCTTTTGGTCCATTACTGCGCATGATTTTTCTCTTCAATGTTCATCTATACCGCGTTCTCTACATAATGCCTTTTTTTCCGTTTAAATCTGACCAACAATAACAAAGATAAGTTTTAGGTCCTTCTGGCATTGCGCATGATTTTTCTCTTCAACGTTGATCTATACCGCGTTCTCTGCGTAATACCGTTTTTCTTCCCGTTTGAATCGGAACCAGTAATATCCGAGAAACACGCAAAGGGCCTTCTGGCTTTTTGTTATGCGTATGATTTTTCTTTTCGACGTTAATCTATACCGAGTTATCTACATAATTCTCTTTTTCCCGTTTCAATCGGACCAATAGTAGCCGAGAAACACGCTTAGGCCCTTCTGGCTTTGGTTCTGCGCATGATTTCTCTGTTTGACGTTAATTTATACTGCGTCTTCTACATAATACCGTTTTTTTTCGTATGAATCGGGCCAATAGTAATAAAGATACACACTTAGGCCCTTCACCCCACACCTGACACCATGTTTTAGTTGTATTTTATAGTTGTATTAAAACATTCCACACTTGGTTTTAAATATCTTTATTCATCTAGTCGTCATCTATCAATTGTCACCAGTCACCAAAGTAACATAAAATAGAAGAGACACTAAAACTCTATAGCTATACAGCCATTACATCTGGCTTTGTTTTTTCGTTTACCTCGTATATTTTTCATTGTTTATACGATTGTTACCATCTTAGATTTTTGATCCAACCGCGAGCTAACGTTATCATATTTACTGATAAGCCAGACTTCGTTTCTCGAAGCGTGACTTTGATATCGACGTTTTTTGCTATTTTTCACCTTAGCGATTTACCATGTTAATTTACATAAGGAATGAGGCAGAACTCTTGTTGCTCCTTTACTCTGACAATGCCATTGATGGGGACTAACACTGTTCCTTGGGGAACAACAAATAGATTCCAATTATTGGATTACAACCCTTAAATATTAATATTGCTCCCATAAAGACTATGGAAAATAAGCCCTTTAGAAATGAAACCATCTGGATTCTCGTGCCAGATATTTCTATTTCTCTACTTTACAGAATCTGTAAATTTCAGGTATTGTATAACTCTGTAATGTATAGAGAATGATTACTATAAAGATTAGGTTAAAAATTGTCTTCTACTGCGACTCTGATGGATCCTATGTAGTTTATGTTTAATCTATAGCTCTCCGGACAAGTCATATCTTTTGATGAAGACCTTGGTTAAATTAAATGAGCCTTTGTTTAAAATCAATGGGCTCCAGTCAAGTGAATTAGAAGATCGTAAACCTAGTTCATATCGACTTTGAAGCTCTTATCGTTCTATGACAAGTTCAGAATGATTTTTATTCTCGTAAAAGACCTTTAAAATGACCCCATAGAAATTTTACTACTTTAATATTACTGTATTTTTTTTGTTACAGACACCTTCATTGTTTTACCGCGACGGCACTGGCAAAACAGCTCTTCATTATACCAGCACCAGCGGCAGTCGCTGCGCCGCTCAAGCTGCTGATCTCATGGTCATGGCCGCTCCGGATTTAGTCGACGGAAGGGATGATGACGGTTTTACACCGCTACATCTAGCGGTCATCGCGGGAAACATGCAGCTGGTGACGTTCTTATTGGCCAACGGAGCGGACGTCAACGCTGTGGATAATGAGAAGCACACGGTCGTTCATTGGGCCACAGGTGAGATATTTACAATTATTCTGAAAATAAGGGACAAAGGAGTCTATTCTGTAACAATTTCCTTTATATTTTAACGGCCGTTAAAATATTGGAGGCCTCTAAAAATATTTTCGTAATTACTAAATTACTTCTGTCATTATTTAAACGGATTCCTTTAAAATACATTGGAGGACTATCTTAAAGAAATCCGTTTAAATAATGACAGAAGTAATTTTAAAGGCTGCCAATATTTTAACGGCCGTTAAAATATAAAGGAATTGTAACTTAATAGACTCCAATCTTAAATTATTGAATAATTTTATTTCTCAACTAGTTACAATATAGACAACATTTTCTAGCAACAATTAGTTAATGGTGTACAATGTATCCGATGCCAGATAACCCAAATTATCCGAAAAAGCACGATATTCTCTGTTCAGTACAATAACTAGCGTTTTCTTTTTTTTAAAATCCAAATTCACCTGTCACCGGTCAACTGTCGAGCCGTGTTTTGAAATTATCTTTGTTAAAAACGCTTGCATTGTCAAAATATCTTTAAAAAAATGAGGTTCTCCGTAAATTCTCCGCTTAATTCTTTCAACCTTCTCAAATTCTTAATAAAGCGAAGAATTATTTGCCCATTGGCGACACTGCTAGTGCAAAATACGGCCGAAGTCACTGATTCTGGTCGGCGGGTAGACTGAACGGGTGGGCGGGGCATCAGAACGGCGATCTGTTATTAGCAGATCTCCAAACGGACGGCTGGTCTATTAGTGCAGTTTACGAGTAGAAAAAAACAGACAAAATTAAATTCAGACAAAACCTTTTACAAATTCACTTGCAATTTACAGTTATTCCCGGAAAAACCGTCACAAAATAGTTTTAATTAAGTTCTTACTATTTTAAACAGAAGAAAATCATTTAGCTTGCCTTTACCTGGGCTCAATCCTGCTATGCAATTCGATTAATTCCTTCCAGTCTAGGCTTCACCTCTCACAACAAAAAATTACAACGATTATAATTAAACTAGAGTGAAAATAGAACCGTTATCGACATAATTATTATAAAATAGTCTAAGTATCTAATTTATAAATGTCATGGTGCATGCAAAAATTAGCATTTTAAATGTAATCCCATTATATTTTGCATGTCCCGAATCAGCTCCATTTGTATTTATACAGTAGATGGTAAAGAAAATGCGTCACTAATGTAGATTGTCCATTATTTAATATGACAAAGCACACCGGACCTTGAATTTTCCTTATTTGCCTATTTCATTCATTAAAACGAATAGACTGGACTTCCTGATAGGAAAGTAACCATAATTCAAGAACGATAAAGTCAAGGACTGGGAGTCCTTGAAAATTTAACGGCGACCGGTATGCCTCATTATTCAAAGTAGGATTAAAGGCTGTTTTACATTTCTAAAATGACGTAGATTAGAAAAATAAGGTTTAGAAAAAAGGCTGAGCATTTTTATATATAATACACAATTAAAATACAATTGTTAAAAGTAGATAAATTAAAATTTAATTTAAAACACCTTGTACATAAAATACCCAATTAAACATGGAAATACTAAATGACAGAAACAAGTTTATACTATAAAATTCCCATTCACAAAACTAAATATATTCCGCCTCAACGATCAACTACAATAAAATACGTTTTTATATAGTTATGGGCTACAAGTCTCGTGCTTATAATACTTATTCATTCTGAATTAGAGCAAATGTTTATAAATGCATATTTAAAGAGATTAAATCAATCCAGGTCACCCAAATTAAGGGTGAATATGCGTCAGATGGTCGTTTAACTATATTTTTATTAACCGACACTACACTCCACTATAGAAATACTCTTAAATACCTTATAAAAAGTAAGTTATCATATTAATTAGTAACTGCAGCTCATTCGAGTTATATTGAGTTATATATGAACAAATTATTGGCCCATATTTAACTTCCTCATTAAGACTCAAATAAAATTTTTACATTTTCGGTTTTAGTGAAGAACTCTCTACACAAGTTGCTATTGTCAATTTAACTGCACACTTATACAACCACAGTTGATAACAAGAAACCGTGCTTAAGTGTCTTTGTTGATCTTACAAAAGCGTTTGATTCGGCTTCTCATGAAATCGTGTCAGATAAACTATGGAAAATCGAAATAAGGGGCAAAGTATACTAAAAGTTTTCTAATGAATAGAAAGCAGAGAGTAAAAATTAATATTTTACAGATGATTTTTTAAATCTTAGTTAAGGCTTAAACTCTTCTTAAAGAAGGTGCACCAAGCCATTAGTGAAGAAACATCTTGTAAGTACGGTGTACCGCAAGGTACAGTTCTGGGTCCTTTACTGTTAACAATTTACACAAACGAATTAGTTTGAGTACAAAGTTCTGGAAATATATCATTTGTAGATGGTACAGTAGGAGAAACGTAGAAAGAAGTAAAAAAAAAGTTGAGAGACCTTGTGAATATTCACAAAATGGTTTCAATCGATGAATATTCAGAAAACCAAAATAATACCAATAACATCTTATGAATATATTAATTTTAATGAAGAAAACATTATAAAAATCCGTGAAATATCAACATTGTAGATTACTATTGTACACTACCATTGATAAATAGATTATATTAAAAGAAGACCCTGTTTCTTTTACATCGAAGAAGGAGGATTGCTTCATTTCACTTAGGCCTCATTAGGTCCATTGTGCATCCTCCTAAATTTATAATCCCCTCTTAGGTCATCAGCCAACCTATAGATTTAATGTGGTCGCCGAGAGATGTCTCTCCAGTGGCACTATAATGAAGCTTTGAAAAATTATTATTTACTTTTCAGTTTGCGGAGAAACAGCTGCTCTGAGAGCAGTTATAGCAGCAAATGCTCAAGTTTCCACTCCAGATGTCCATGGTGGTTATCCTCTGCACTATGCTGCTCAAATGTGTGGCGGTGTAAGTTATTTAAATATAATTAGTTACTATCTTTTTCAATTTATACCTATTAGATCCTACACTTAAAATTAAGCTGAATACAATATTTATCAATTTTTTTTCAAGTTGGTAGTTCCAAAATACCTTTAGGTAAGTATTTATTTTTGCCTAGGTACTTTTTAGGTGCGTATGACATATTTGATAGTAAGTTTAGAATCGTGAAAATATTAACATTATATTGACTTTTATTTCCTGCTTTCTTATAATATGTCCTTTCTTGCTATTTTGCAAAACCTATTTTTTTATCTATTTGAATTATTGATGCCCTAAAACCAGCTCTTTCTTCATTTACGTCCCCTTCTTTTGTTAGATCCTTGCCCATTGAAAGTCGCATCTTTTCTTTTGCTTAAAGTTTTTCCAAAGATTCAAAGCCTTTACCATCTTTTTCACATCTGCTGTGTTTTAAGTTTTAATTTCTAGTAAGTGTATTATTTATCGTCTCTTTCCTGTTTGCTCAATTTACTTTAATTTCTTTTCATTTCTCTATCTCTATCTTCTATCTCTGTTGAAAACCGTCACCATCTAATCGTTTACTGCGTATGTAGACTTGTTAGGTGTGCCTATAAGAGCTATATTCGGCTGATTTGGTAATTGAAAAATTGACGTGGTTAGTATATTGACCACATCTACTTAATAAAGGGTTAAATAGAGAATTAAGAGAACTTTCAAATGAGGTATCATAAGCCCCTACTTCCTATTTACAAATTTGGGGGGTTGTAACTGTTACTCGAAGGGGTTGAAGGTATGGGTAAAATTTTTACGTTGCAGATAGGGGCGGTCTATCCATTGGTTCATTTGCGCAGTGAATACCCAGTTAAATTTTATAAAAACATTATTTTAAAATAAATAACATAAAAAATATTAATTCAATTTTAATAATTTTTATTGTTTTCATACGTGTTAATATCTATTTTTGGGTTCGCCACTGCGCTCTGGCTAATCGCATTTCCGTGGCGCTCCTTTATAAGTGAGCCCGAAGAAGTGAGAAGCGTTCGTTGACAAATTGTTGAGAGTGCACCACAAGGAACTGCATTAGGGCCTGTGTTATTTTGTACTAATGGACTAAGAATTTAAAGTTTAAATTAGCACACACATGTTGAGTGTCTAGCAAAGAAACTTAGTAAATTCGTCTTTGACATTGAAAAGTTATTTTTTATTTGGTCAGATAAACTAAGAATAATAGTTTTTGCGAAGATGACTCATATAAGTGTATATTTTGGTAGGACACGCTGATGCCACTGCCCTTCTTCTCGCTCACGGAGCCGATCCCAACCGACAAGATCGAAAAGGACGAAGTCCCGCTCATTGCGGCTGTGCCAAAGGTCAATTTGAAACCGTTAAACTTATAGGTAACTAATTTTATTATCAAACGTCTAATCGTGCGTTTAAATATTGAAATTATGTAGTCCCAGAAGGAATATAATAAAATTATAATAATTGATTTTTTTTTTAATTTCTTATAATAACAGGATGCAAAGAACTTGAGAAAATGAATTAAACTTCGTAATATCCTGCTGTGATTTTAAATATTAAATGTAATATTTGAGATATTTACAAACATAGTTAAATGTAAAAAATTGTTAATTTTATATTTGTTTGGTTTAAAATTTCGATTTCTTAACCTTATAAAAAAACCGCTTTTACTCCTTTACAGAACCTCTAAACTCTTCATTCTATTGATAACAATTTGTGTTACTTTTAACTTCTCAAATTTTAGTCAAGAAGATTTTGACCCCTGGAATTTTCTATAACTCCATCCGGTCCTACTCAAGTCATAAAAAATAATTAAAAAATGTATAATTTTCTGGAAAATTATCATTTATAATCTCGGTTTGATTTACACTAGTTATAACTGCATAGAAAAAGATGATAAAGTAATTGGGAATTTTTATTGGTGGGAAAGGGGGAAATTGTAGGTGTATGGGGATTTTTTTAAGGAGGAACGGAGGAAAATTGTGGGGAATGGGGGAAAATTGTAGGGAAAATGAGGAATTTTTGAGGGGAATGGGAGAAATTTGTCAGTGAATTTAGGATATTGTGGGGGAATTGGGAGAATGTGGGGCATAGGGGGAATTTAAGGGGACGGGAGAAATTGTAAAGGGAAGGAATGGGGAAAATAAGAAACTCTTTAAATTTTTATCCAAACTTAATCATTTCCCGATATTTATTTTGTTATAAATCACTGGATTATTCTTAGGAACCCACGGAGCAAATCTGTGGTTGAGGAACGCTAGAGGAGACTTTCCTCTTCATGATGCTGCAGCATCGGGAAGAAGAGAGCTGGTTCAGTGGTTGTTGGAAATGAGGCCCAGCCAAGTAAATGCTAGAAACAACGATGGTAGGTGTCCGATTCATATGGCAGCGTTGAACGACAACGCAGATATGTGTAAGGTAAGTTTTCTCATCATTACAAACCGAATATAAAAAGATCTTTGGTTCAACCTCATTTGTACTTTATAAAAATTATACAAGTTATGTAATTTTATACTTAGGAACACCGCTTGCAAGATTTGTGTCGAGAGCAGTCAGAGCTGGGAGTATCTTAGAAAAAAAGATACTTTTCAGTATCTAAGATACAAGATAGTATCTTGTATCTAGATAATTTTTCATGTGATGCAAAAGTATTTAAATTTAAAGATACTTTTTAAAAGTATCTGTATCTTGTATCTATTTTTAAGTATCTAAAATACTTCAAAAGTATCTAAGATACTTCAAAAGTATTTAAGATACTGTATAAGTATCTAAGATACTTTTCAAAAGTATCTAAGTTACTTTTTTGTGAAATAGATGTTTTTAGGTTGCGCGAAAGTCGCAAAGTCTAGCCACATGTTCAGACCTGTCGATTATGCGCTGATCGGTGAGTTGCATTGCAGAGGATTTCGTGCTGTCAGTGTACTTGGAGAAGAACAAATCTCTTTGTGAATTAGCTAGGTACTCTGTAGTTACTAGGGTTGCCAGACTTGCTTGTACGCTTTTTATGCAAATGCCACGCTTTTTACAAGTCGCAGAGGAACCGAATTTATATAAAAATAGAGAAATGTCCGGGTAAAAGACCCTCGTTTTTACGAAAAATAAGCCGAGGACTTTTTTTTAACGGCAATAAACCATCTTTAATCAATATACATTCTCAATATTAAACTTAAGGATGTAGAGTAGTCAAGCAAAACAAGAAGTTTTCTAGGTGTGGCATCTCACTGATGACCACAATTTTCAAAGAAAATCTGCAGCATTGGCTGTCGCAGATATTTCATAAGTATCTTAGCTACTAAAAGTATCTAAGATACCTTATAAGTATAAGTATTTTAGATACTTTTAGAATTATCTTAGATACTAAAAAGTATCTTAGATACTTTCAGAAGTATCTTTTTCAAAAACCATCTTAGATACTTTCTTCGAAAGTATATTTCTTCTTTCTTTCTTCGAAAGTATCTTAGATACTTTTAGATACTTGTAGAAGCAGAAAAAGTAAAATACCTCGGTATTACAATTGATCGTCATATGAGATGGGATCTACAATGTAAGGAAATAGTAAAAAAAATAAGAGGTCATTTGCCAAAATTTAGGTATTTAAAGGAAATTCTTGAAGTTGAGGAATTAAAAGTCTTGTATTTCTCACTGGTTGAGTCACTGCTTTCTTATGGTATTTTAGGGTGGGGTGGAGTAAATGACTGTTTCTTAAATAGTGTTCATATTGTACAAAAATGGCTTTTAAGAATCATATTCCAAAAAAATATTTTATTTTCCTCAGATCAATTATATCTAGATGCCCAAGTAAAAGATGTACGACAAATTTTCGTTCAAAAAATATTAAATATTGTTTTTTATATTTCAAAATAAAATAAAATTTGTACATCATGAACACTCTTATAATACTAGGAGATATGAAGGGATCGTTTTCCCACGAAGTGAAAAAACTATCGGGAAAAGAAATACTAACTATTTAGCCCCAAGAATTTACGTGCTGTTATCTAATGATATAAAAAACTCAAAAAGTTTTAATTTATATAAAAATCGAATTAAAAAATGGATTATGGAAACAGAGAGACGATTTTTTACCGATATAGTAAATCAAACTCTACAGTGACAAAAGTAGCCATTTCAAGAATATGTGTCTGCAAGATTATGTGTCTGATATTTTAATTTTAACTTACCTCTATTTTGTCCTTATACCCCGAATGTGTCTTAAACTGGATTTGACAATATATTTTTTTTTTCACTGGGTTTGACAAAAACCCTGTTTGTGTCGCCCAAAAAAGGCAAAACAAACTGTATTAAGGTCACAATACAAGTAGTTCTAAAAACTACTTCTGTGGCTTAACTTTGTTTATTCACCCTCTACTTAGTATGTATTATTTTAATGAGGTAGTTACTAAGTCTTTTTAATAATATGTTACTTGTATTTATCCTAACTTTTATGTATCTATCCTTATATTTATATTTATTATTGAATTTATGTACTGAATTGAATTGAATTGAATAAACATTATTATTATTATTATTATTATCTTGTATCTAAGATATTTTTAATAAATGTATCTTTCCCAGCTCTGGGAGCGGTGTAGATTGTATGTATAGTAGGCTTAACATTTTGTCGATTCGACGGTCGAAAAGCGACTCAACTGAAATTTTCGCTAGGCATTAGATGCCACATCTTTACTCTTTTTATTGCATAATGGACTAGTCTGTCTAGAGGCAAGGATGATAATGATGATGACTATTAATGGTGGTTTTGTTACGATCTATTTCAATTTATTGTAATGGAGCAAAAAGAGTGATCATTACTTAAGTGACGAAAGATGTAAAGCAATGTTCGACAGTTACTAACGGCTTGGCGTACATGATCTTTTTTCTATTGCAAGATATATGTTGCAGATGATTCAGGTGTCATCATGATATGTTTAAATTAGGTTTGTTCCAACACGAGCGAAAACCTTAATATTACCGTACAAATCGTGCGCTCTACCCAAAAATTGTATACAGCGCATGATTTTTACGGTAATATTACGGTTTTCGCGCGTGTTGGAACAGACCTATTAAGTAACGTATGAAATTTAAAGTCTTTACACCCTGTATTTAAATGACGATTACATTAATTTTCACTTTCCAAAGATTTAAGATTTTTGCAAAGGTATTTTTAGCAAAGTAGTATGAGGGTCACGAAATTGATTTCCTCGACCTTTTTTCGAGACACTTCAGCCCAACGATAATGAGATCATGCCGATGGATATCTTGTCGTTAACTTTAGCATCAAGGTTAAAGCTTACGTGAGAAATACAATTACCCGGCTATTCAAAAGCCCTGGACTGTTAACGAAAAAAAAAAACTGAATATTTATTTTTGTGAACTATGTAGACTTCCATATATCTTTTATAGAAGTGTGTAGGTATAACATGCAAGGGTCAGATTGCGTACACATAAAGCATTTAATAGCATGATTAATTTGGGCTATTTCTTGATATATTTCGAATTTAGCGCGCTTGCGTTTTCATTTGTTTACTTCGTCATAGCTGCGTGACTGGCTAGTTTCCGTTCGATTTTGGAATTGGGTAAGGAAGTCAGTCATGTGTGGCCTTTTACGCATAGTTCGTCTAGTCCGGTGCTTTGGTTTTAGTTCCTTAGAGCAATCAATTTAAATTAATGGTGAATTGGTTGCTGAATAGCATGGGCAATATCAAAGTGTTGTTTTAAAATGGTGTTAATAATTATTTTTTTTTACAATTCTAGCGGAAATTATTCGGATATTTTTTGAATCGTTACTTCTAAGTTAATCAATATGATTTGGACATCTAAGGCTAATTTAAATAAACGTTTCTAAAAAGTCGTAGCGCCATCTCAATTTAAAAAAGAAACATCTTAAGATAACAGATTTTTGAAAAATTTAGTTTATTTCTATTTGGTAAGTTCTAAAAAGGAAATTAATCGATGTTTATTATCTCTTTTAAACTGGACATTATTCGATATTTTTTATAATTTTGTAGAAAATTTTAAATTAGTTTAACAGATATAAAAAAAGGATGCAATTAAAATAGGGTAACAGTAACAGAAAACGAACAAATTGGAAATAAAATAAATTTGAAAACAAGACGAAATAAAAGGAGAATGACAATAAGAAGAAGAAAATTGGTTTATTGTTGTTCTTCTTTTTCTTCATTTTTAATTTTTGTTTCGATTGATTATATTCTAACTATTCTGTCTTACTTTTTTCTTTTACTTAATGTTTTGTACTTATTTCTCTCAATGCCATTTTATTATTATTATTTTTCTTCTTGATTTCTATAGTTGTACTTTTCTTTATCATTTTTAACCGACTTCAAAAAAGGAGGAGGTTCTTAATTCGTCGCAATATTTCTTTTTTAATTTTTTTTTATATATTTATGTTCAGCGATAATTCTTTAACACGGTGTCAGATTTCAATGATTCTTTTTTTTGTGAGAAAGGAGGTACTTCAGGGGTGGTCCCATATAAATTTGGTCAAAATCAAATTATTAGGTTCATGAGAAAATCTTCAAACTCTTCATTTTTTATGTATGTTTAGCGATAATGCTTTACCACCTTTTCCGATTTATATGATTCTTTTTTTGTTAGTAAGGGGGTACCTCAGGGGTGGTCCCATATAAATTTGGTTAAGATGTGGTAATGGCATCGGCACGTTTTTGAAGTCGGTTTTTTTTTAATTTTTAATTTCTAATACTTGTCTTCATCTATGTTAGGTTGGGAATGGGTGCGTTGCAAGCTAGTGGGTTTTCCTTACTTACTTTCCACATCTTGCACGGGGTTTTCTTCCTGTGGCGGACTAAGGACTATTCATGTTGAACATTAATTCTGGATTTCGCATGTACCTTCACTGATTTTGAAATTAAAAATGTACTTTTCTTTTAAATTATTTATTTAAATCTTGATAAGCTTTAACATTTATGAACACTATGCTTAGGTAATCTACTAGTTTACATAATATTTGTAATTAAACGCAAAAAAGAAATTGAAAGTTGAATTCTAGACCGAGCCCCGCGCTTGACGAGCTTTTCCCTGAATTTCCGTGTTAAATTTCTATTGGCCGATAGAACCTCGTATGATTTTACTTAGCGAGAAAGACAAGGACATTGCTTGCTAATTTATTTTGAACGTTCCATTTGCTTACTTTAATGAGAGTGACGGAAATAGACTTAAATGAAGAGAGAGATGTGGTTTGAATTGTTAAGAAAAAACTTACTGTTCTAATGGTTTCTTGTTACTATGCGAATTTATTATCGTGGGGTTCAAAGCTTGTTGCTAAGGACATTGTTACTGAAACATGAAATTTATTTTATTTCATTAAATTATGTAATGCAAACCGTGGATTGAATAATGAACTATGATGTTATTTGTATGTTACATTTCTTTTCATTATTTATAGAAAGTAGATTATAAGAGTAACTGACGTATCTATTAAAAAATGCTTGTCATTTTTGAACAGGGTGTTAATACACTACGGTCTAAAAGATCTAGTGGGTTCTTTCTTCATCTAATAATTGCCTTTCCTTTTCGTATGTTTTGTCGTTCCAAAATATTTCCCTGTCTGTTCTTCTACTACTGTTTTTATTATTTCTCTCCTATATTTTTTATTTGTGTTTTGTTGTTTGTTTCTGTTTTTTATCTTCTCTAACCTTGAAAACAGGCAGCTCCTATAGTTATAGCAAAAAGAAAAAAGAGGAAGCTTCTCTTCTGTTTCTTCTTTTTTTTTACTTTTTTTTCTTTTTTTCTTTTTTTTTTCTTTTTTTTTCTTTTTTTCTTCTTTTTTCTTCTTTCTTTTTCTTTTTTTTTTCTTTTTTTACTTTTTCTTCTTTTTCTTCTTCTTTCTCTTCTTTTTCTTCTTCTTTTTCTTCTTCTTTTTCTTCTTCTTTTTCTTCTTTTTCTTCTTCTTTTTATTTTTCTTCTTCTTCGTTTTCTTCTTCTTTTTATTATTTTTAATACTGTTACTGATGGCTATTATAAACGTAGTAATATAGGTTTATTATTGACTTTAAATTACCTTTGATACTGCCCATGAATGATCAAATATACCAAGAACGCTTGCTTGATATTTACTACCGATTAGGCGTCCAGATCTATAATAATGCCAAAAAGTAAACATAGCAAGGGTAACATTAAAGATGCAATGAATTATTTTCAAGAAACCATAGACGACGCCACTGGATATTTAATGACGAGCGTCAGTAGTAACATCGTTATTTCTAGTAATGTAAATAACATTTTTTAACATATTTATCTGAGGAAAAGAAGACTCAAAAAATCTTAAAAAATATTGTTTTTTTTTTATTTTGAAAATGTGTTCAGATTTGAACATTTTTCTTTATATTCACATACTAAATTAACATCCTGTATATGAAATCAATTCAATTTAATTAAAATGTTTATGTTCATATGCAGGTATTATAAACTATTCCAATTTCATTTCAAGTTCAATGTTCAACAAAAATGCTGAATTGTTATTTTAAAATCATTTCAAAACTTTGAACTGGGATCGAATAATAATATTTTTCTAATGTACATACTTTACAAAAATTTCTCTGAAATGAGATTCATGAAAACCATCTTGTGGTATTAATTATAAAATTAATCTTTAAATTCTAATCAAAATGTCTTATCTTTAAGTTTTGATGTTACATCTCTTACTAGAAAATGTTCTTCACATTATTGACATTTATTAAGTTGAAGTAACAAATTTAAGGAAACATTAACTTTACTGTGGCATATTAATGAAGGTTTTTTATATTTAACTGGGGATGTAATCCTAACACAATTATGTTCCTATATTTCTATAAATAGTATATGTATATTTGGCTATCGTTGTTTTTAACTTCTTGTACTTCTGATGATGGTAAAATATAACCGAAACTAGTTGCACTTTTTTTTTAATTATTGTAGTTAAAACTTTGAGTTTTCTTTTCCTGGACGTACTAAATTTGAGACATTCATAACCTTTTTACTCCATATTTAACTATTATACAAAACTTGTTGTAGATTCTTCTAGACGCAGGCGCTCAAATAAATCCAGTCCTTAGAACTTCCAAAAACGTATTTATGACCCCACTAGACTGCGCTCTCCAAAAAGGTTACAGATCCACTGCCAAATATTTGCAACTAAACGGTGGAATACCAGCCACACGTCTCAACGATCCAACCAATCCACAAATCAACAGTGCCTTAAACTTACAAATCAGAGACGACGTTACTTTCTATGGCGACACATCATCAGAAAGCGAGCGAGACAAAGTTGGGGTAGATAAACCAGAGAAGAAGACTGTTAGGAAGAAAACAGCGTTGAAACAGGAGAAGAAACGTTTGTCAGTGTCTGGTAGTGATAAAGAACCTTTGATCAAACAGAAATCTGTTGAGAAATCAACAGATAAAAGAAGAACTCCTACTAGGATCGATTACAGCAACGAAATTATCATCAATGGAAAATCTCAACTCAATTTGACCCAAACTAATGAAATTATATTAGATAAAGAATCAGTTCAAACTCAGACATCAGCCAAATTCACAGAAAAAGATAGAAGACCTAAAAGCGCTAAGTACAGTCGTCTTAGAGATAAATCGGCCCAATCAAGCTTAAACAAAGAAACCATGATCAGCATCTCTAGTCAAGCTAGCGTTTCTAAACAAGACCATAGTACTAGTACTTCGGATGAAATTAGTGAATCAATAAAAGAAAAAACTGAAATTAAAGTCGATACAACTGAAGGCAGTAAACTAATTGGTCATAAAGTGTTGCAAGATCAGGGTTCTATAATGTCGTTTACTAGTGAAGATGCCGAGGAACCTAAGAAAGACATTGTTGTTGAAGCTTCAGTACATCCACAGCCAAAATCGTTAGAAACTACTGATAAAGATATTAAAATAAATGTAGAGAAAGGTGAAACAATCGAAGATGTAGTAAAGGGAGAAAAAATTGCAGTAATAGAAAGTGAAAATTCTACTAAAGATCGTTTGGTTGGTTCAAGTGAAGATAGAAACATAATCTTAGAAGTAAACGAAGAAATTAAAATGTCTGTTGTAAAGCATGACAAGCAGTTACCTCAAGTTGAAATAGATGGGTCGAAAGCAGAAGTTATTACGGAAAGTAAAGCAGAGGATGATGGAAAAGCAGAGGATGATGGAAAAGCAGAGGATGATGGAAAAGCAGGGGATGATGGAAAAGCCAGAGAAGATGGTAAAGATCGAATTGAAGAAAATGGTACCAGTAAAGCTGGAACTGAAGTTCAACAAGCAGGTACTATTTTTTTACATTAAAATGATTTTATTTAGAGGACACGTAAATGCGTAAAATAAGTTCCATGTCCTCCATATACAGTATGATGTAAATTTATTATAATAAATTTAATCCTCTTGTTTGTATCATACTATACATATAATTAATGAAAATAAAATCTTGTTTTTAGAGCCAATAGTTGCTGATACCTCGCGAATTACTGATCGAATTAAAACAGACGACGACAAACCCATACAATTTGACGAAAAAGAAAAAGATGACCTTAAGGAAGAGAAATTAATGAGTTCAAAAGAAAAACAGGAACCAAGCGTGCTCAAAAAGAAACAAAAAGATAAAGACGAGATAACTGATCAGTCACCAACTTCGCAAGATCAGTCAAAAGAATCAGCCGAAATGGGAAAGAAGAACGGTAAAAAAAGCGATTCCACAGACAAAGATAAGAAACAAAACAAACAACAAACGAAAACAGAAGATTTAAGCGATTCTTCGATATTCTCAGACGAAGAAAGAACCCACCGAAGTTTCCGAGTTCTAAACGATAAGGAATTAGATGAAATCGACGATTCTAGAAAGAAAAAACGTCATAAAAAAGACGACGAAATCAGATCTAGATCGCTGGAGACCAGAAGCAAAGATAAGTTAAAGAGAAGCAAAATCCCCACACCTCTATTCAAAAGCAGCTTATCAAAAAGCGATAGACATCTTAACCAATCCTATAAAGAAACCAATCTAGACGTCAGAATTCCATCGTTGCCAAATATACGAGATGAAAAACATTTGAGATGCGATTCCAACATGTCCGCTCCGTTACTGACTTCCATTTTGAGCGATAAAGAAAGAGACAGCATCTCTGATGGCGAAGACGAATCTAGAAACAAAAGTAAGCGATTTATTAAGAGGAGGTCGAAAAATCGCGATTCTAGAAGCGCTGGAAGTGATTATGAGAGCAGCAACTTGATCGATTCGGGGTTCGAACCGAGTCCTAGGAGTACGAGGGTACCGAAATGGAGGAACGTTTCAGAACGGGGGGTTAATATGACGTCGGTTACTCAAAGTATACAGACGAATATTAGAAGGTACGTTTTTAAATTTAATTTTTATTGATAACGATATCTTAACTAAAACTGACTGATCCAACAGCAAAATAGGCTATTTATATAAAAATGTACACTTCAGACTTGTTTTCGAAGATTCTAGACGTCTTTTGACTAAGAATAGACACCGCACTGTGTGACTTTTGATATTTAATAGGCTAGAACTTCCGAATAACAAACAATAACAATTCGGGAGATTCCATTTTTTAAAGTAAATGCACCAGACTATTTTTTTCTTAACCCTTTGTTTCACATTTCATTCTAGTGAAAATAATTTTGAAAAACTTATTACTCCAGGGTGTTTAGGGTCAAAATACAAAATTCAAAATGGCGGATTCAATATGGCGGACCAAAAATGAAATTTTTTTCTAATTTCCATGGAATTATTAATTTTACTAGCGAAACTGAAGACAAAAACAAGTGCAACTTCGAGCTTGAAGATATAGGATTTCATTTAGACGATATTGATACAGAAATGGAAGACGCAACTATTAAATAACATGTAATTAATTAATAAGTAGGTCATTTTTAATTTTAAGTCTTAATCGACAATTTTTTAATTTTAGCGGCCACCATATTGGATCCGCCATTCGATATTTCTAATTATTAAAGTCACATTCAAAATCAGCGAACATATTGAAAACCCCACAGAAACTTTCTATGTAAAAAACGCAGTTTTTAATATTTTCGGATGCCATATTGGGTCCGCCATTTTGCATTTTTAATGTAATATTTAAAAAAAAAACCCTCAAAACTCTCCAGATTTCATTTTTACGCAAAACCTGCAAATTTTATTATTTTCAGGCGTCATATTTAATCCTCCATTTTGAATTTTTAATTTGTAATGTTATATTATAAATCAATGACCCAGAAAGCTTCTTAGAAACCCTCTAGGTTTCATTTTTACGCAAAACAAGCAGTTTTTAATATTTTCGGATGCCATATTGGGTCCGCCAACTCTCTAGGTTCCATTTTTACACAAAATAAACAATTTTTAATATTTTTGGGCATCATATTTAATCCGCCATTTTGCACTTTTATTATCATATTCAAAATCAGCAACCTTGGAACCCCGTTAAAAATGCCTTAGACTTCATTATTACGCAAACCAAGCAATTTTCGGAATATTGGAACTATCACTTTATATTTCTAATTTTTATTGTCATATTCTAAATCAGCGACCTCGAAAACCATTTAGAAATCTCTCAAGTTTAATTTTTATACAAAATAAGCAATTTTTAATGTTTTTGGGAGCCATATTGGAGCCACCGTTTTGAATTTCTAATTTTTAAAGTATTATTCACAATCAACGACCTCGACATACTCCTCAGGTTTAATTTTTATGCAAGACAAGCAATTTTTAATATTTTCGGGCACCATATTGGATTCGCCATTACGCATTTGTAATTTTTAATGTCCTATTCACAATCAGACAATCAGTAGCCCCAATAAACTTCTTAGAAACCCTCCAGGTTTCATTTTTACGCAAAACAAGCAGTTTTTAATATTTTCGGATGCCATATTGGGTCCACCATTTTGCATTTTTAATTTTTAATGTAATATCAATCTAATATTAAAAAAAAAACTTTTAGAAACTCTCTAGGTTTCATTTTTACACAAAACAAGCAATTTTTAATATTTTCTGGCATCATATTTAATCCACCATTTTGCATTTTTATTGTCATATTCAAAATCAGCGACTTTGGAACCCCTTAGAAATACCTTAGACTTCATTATTACGCAAAGCAATCAATTTTTAATATTTTAGAGCGCCATATTGGAATCATCACTTTGTATTTCTAATTTTTATGTCATATTCCAAATCAGCAACCTCGAAAACCATTTAGAAATCCCTTAAGTTTAATTTTATACAAAATAAGCAATTTTTAATATTTTCGGGCACCATATTGGAGCCACCATTTTTTATTTTTAATTTTTAAAGTATTATTCACAATCAGCGATCTCGAAATACTTTTTAAAGACCCCTCAAGTTTAATCTTCATGCAAAACAAGCAATTTTTAATATTTTCTGGCGCCATATTGGATTCGCCATTTTGCATTTCGAATTTTTTATGTCCTATTCACAATCAGTGACCCCAAAAACCCCTTATAAACCATCCGGATTTAATTTTTATGAAAAACAAGTAATTTTAATTTTTTTCGGACTCCATATTGGATTCGCCATTTTGCATTTCATATTTTTAATATCGTATTCACAATCAGTGACTCCAAAAACCCCTTTTAAACCATCCAGGTTTCATTTATATGTAAAACAACCAATTTTTAATATTTTCGGGCCCCATATTTGATCCGCCATTTTCAATTTTTAATGTTATATTCTAAATCAGTGACCCAAAAAATTCTTTCAGGTTTCATTTTCTGGCATCACATTAGATCTGCCTTTTTGTATTTCTATTTTTTAACATCATTCAAAATCAAGGACCCAAAAATCCCCTAGAAATCCCTAAGGCTTCATTTTTATGCAAAAAAAGCAATTTTTTTTTTATATTTTAGGGCGCCATATTGGATCCGTCATTTCGTATTTTAAATTTTTAATGTCATATTCAAAATAAGTAACCCTAAAAATTCAGTCGTTTATCTTATGAAAACGAATCTTTAATATTTTGGCCAAAAAAAGACGAGACGTCCCATGGTGTCCCACCAACATTTTCAAGACTAATGCGTCCATCATTTTATCTAAGGGTCCAAAGTATTCTAGAATTAATGGTTCACTTTGACTAACTATACGACATATTAACTAAAACTGACTACGCCAACAGCAAAACGGCCTATTTATATAAAAATGTGCGTTCCAGATTTATTTACAATTTTTGTCAACCATTTTATATCAGTCATTTCGAATTCTGAATTTTTGATTTCAAATTTAGAGTCAGCAGCTCGAAAAACTTTTCTGTACAAAGTTTTATTACAAGTTTAAAAATAATTTACAATTTTCGTCCGCCATTTTGAAATAACATTTTGATTTTTTTAGTTTTGAAATCATATTTGAAATCAGCTGCCTTAAAAATTGTCAAAAAACTAAATTCGAATTTTGGCCACTTGTGAGTGCTTCTGGTTTCACTGTGCAAAGTTCCAAATCTCCAGAACAGGTGGAATATTTTTCTACTAGAAGTATGGGAGTATATTCATGCTTGGGAGAATTTGAATATATATTTTCCAATGGAATTTGTACTATAGAGTTTGCGCATTAAAACCGAATATTTGACGAAAGAAAGCACATACCCAATAATCCAAAGATTTTTGAATATTTTCGATAAAATAAGAGTAAACATTTTTTTGCCGTATTTATACATTTTTTGCATATATTTGTATTTAAGTTGTCTGATGGATATTATTTTAACGTCTGGTATTTTATTTGTGTGCTATTTCTTTCACCATGAAATTGGACGAGCTAATTCATTTAAAGAAGCTGCTTTTTCTTTACTTATAGGAAGAACACTCACGCTTTAGCTATATATATATCGTTAATGACATATTGTTAAACACTATTATAGGTACACCTTACAAATTTTAGAAGTTTATATTGTATGATGGTGTGATATTCAGTCTTTAAAGTCTGAATTAAAGTGAGAGTGATCGGTAGCGATGATATCTTTAACGGAAAAAGTTTTTTCACATATGTGACAAATTGTCTACTGGTAATAATAATCACCCTTAGCACAAATTCTTTCCTACTAAAGAAAACAACCGGTTTTAGTAGTAAGACAAAAAAAATCTACAACAGTAAAATTAAATGTGGTTTGAACTATACTTATTAGAAAATAAAAAGTAATAATTTTCTCTCTTGGTGATTAATATTAGAAATTTATGAACGGCGGTGAACTGTATCACTCATGAAAGGAAAATAACTGTTGCACTTGTAAGAATAACGGTTAATATCCTTCCCGCACTTATTACTTTACACCAAGCACAATAGCCCCAAACAACAAATGGATTTAAGAGGGAATCGTTCGAGCAATACTTTAGGGAACAGTGAAGGTTTTTTTTATTTATTTATTTGGTTTAAAGTCTCTCTTATGTAGACATCTGGTAGTCCATAGCTTCTACAAAAGAGAAACCCTTTTCCCGAGCTGTTATAAAGACTAGGGGCTGAAACAGCTCTGATTATCGACGGGGGGGGGAACAAGCGAATACCGCTATCACCCCCTGGTTAACGCGAAAATGGATGAAGGGTGCTAGTGCCCCCGGATTTTAATCCAATTTGCTTTATTACCCTAACAGGTACTAAGGAAATTAAAAGTACAGGTCGAATTCTTTAAGTAGACAATGGAAACGGAAATGAACGTTGCAGGGAGAGGTATTAGACGGAATTTTAAATAAAGTGCCTACCTTGATTAATTCCTCACAATCGTCTTCGGTGCACGAAATATTAAATTACGAAAAATCGGTTTTGAAGGCAAAACTACTATCAAGCACAATATCAAATAAATCGGTCAAAAGGCGACGAAAATCAGCATGGAAGAGAGCGCTCCCAACGAAAGACGTCTGCTTTTATCAAAAGTCGGACTTTTGCTAGAGCGGGGACGGTAGTTCCTGTTTTGCAAAAAAAAAAACGTTGATCGATCGGCATACTGATAAACCTACTAGAATTGAGATTTTAAGACATGATTTAATTTATTGTGATAATGAAAAGTTTTAAACTACGAGGGCTCTTGCTAAGGTTTAAAAGCTGTAATTCTATGGAAATATTAGTTACAGGGGGTCTCGCAAATGTTCATAGACGGAAATTAGTTTTAGAAATTAATTTAGGGAATAAATTAATGGAAATTTTAGTGACTTCGTCACACAACAATAGTGTTGGACTCCAGGTTCCCTCTAGTGCAAACATTGGTAACCCACTTGAACTACAGCACTATCTGAAGCTTCGTTATCAGCGAACACTTATGGTTATCGATTCTTTCTTCCGTCTTCTTCCTTTCTCGATAAAATTATTAAAAAAATCTCTTCCCCAGCAATCATGTCTTTCCCGCTCTCATCTTGCACACTCAAACACTTAACCTAAATTGTTTAACTTAGTATCTTATCTGAGCATGCTTTTTCAATCACTTGCAGATACCATCTAGAACGAAAGATATTCCAACAGCTCCTCGAACTGAAACGTCAGCAAATCCGTGCTGGGCAACACAACGAAGCTGTTCTCGTCAAAAGAGCCATAGACGCCTACCACCAATCCTGCGCTTCCACCGTAGGCGTGGGACGGTACGTGGCTGAGGATTATACCTTCAAAAGCTTCGAAAAGTTCCTGTACGAAGCTTTGCGAAGGTTACAGAAGAACGGAGCGGAATATATGAAAGGTTTGCCTGAAACGCCCATTCATCCATTGTTGTGTACCAAGAGTACCAACAGGTGTTTGCATGCCGCGCATGCGTATACTGGAGTGCCTTGCGCGGCTTATTGTGAGTACTGAAATAAATTTTAAGAATAATTTGTCTGTAATCTTTTAATTCAAAACTGGTAAACTATTATAAGTTTGTTTGTTATCTAGTACCGAAAATGGACCATCATACAATCCCCAAGATAGGATTCAACAGTTCTGTGGAATGCAAACCGGGTACTGGAGGGTTTCTACCTACCATAAATCCAAAGAAAGCCGTAACCTTAGAACTCAGCCATGGTAACGATAAACAAGTCATTTCTCTACCTACAGACAAACTGGACCAAAATAAAAGATACTACGTGACTTTTACTGTCAAGGGACGCGAACTAACTTCAGATGTGGACAACCACGATAACAATAATAATCATGAAGACGATTCAGCTCATAGACATTCCAAAAGTGATTAGAACTGTGTTAGAATTGATTATACGGCCAAAAAGTTTGTATTGTATAAGAATTTTTATTTTGTCTATACTTAAAAAAAAATGGTACAGTCGCAGTCTGACCTAAAATCCTAAATTCTATGATAACAAAGGCCCCAAAACGGATTCTTGTAGTACTTCATGATTTATTTCTCTATAAATTCCGTGATTTTACAAAGAAAGATTTATTATTAAATACTAACATTGGAATTTAAAACAAATCTGAGTATTTAAAGTTGTTTTTTAACAGAGGTTATAACCTATTTTTTACGTTTCTTTTTTTTTAATTTTTGGATATACCCTGTATATCATATTACGGTATACCTATATGATTGTTAAGTTTTAAAATTTTAGTAATTAATTTCCGTTTTTACACTATGCACCAGCACAACAAAATTTTCTCAAATGGTGCAGACTTTTTGACCGACACTGTATATTTGTAGTATAATCGAGTATTTCGTTACTTTAAACACTTTTCGTGATTACCGAAACAGCTTTAATGGCCGTTTTTCATTCCTTTATGAAAGGGACTTTTTTTTGTTAGATATCAATAAATTGTTGTCGAAATATCGAAAATTAGGTTCGAATTGATGTTTATTTTATAAAAGTTAACTGGAAATCATGTTGAATAAAAATATTACGAAAAATTTTGAGTTCAATCATTTCAATCTGTTCTTAATAAAATGAAAACGAAACTCCCTACCCTTGTGATAAATTTGATAACGGTAAGTTTGAGTCACGTAACATATTAATACATAGTAAGTAAGTAAGTAAGCAGCCTTTCTTTTTCTAATTTATCACAAGAAATACTGCAATTAGTCAGATAAAAATTCAATTCTGATAAAACGAGTAATTTCTTGTTACAAAGTTCGATTACTAGATTAATATGCGGCATTAACAAATCTTTTTCACCAGACCAATTTAATTTAGAACTGTGGTTGCTTATATTATTTAGCTGAACGACTTTTGCGATATAATGGATAAAGTATGGAGGTTAAAGATTGTAGCTACATCTACTTAGGAAAAGATGAACTAAAATTCAAAATTATGAAAAACTGGAAATGCTGTGACATCAGGGTTGTTTTTGTCATTACTTTCATGATAAATCTATTACTTTTTAGATTTAAATGTTACGTTTTTTTGAAATTTATTACAAAAAAAATGCCTGAGAAAATTTCCTTATGCACAGTAAATTTTTTACATTTCAAGCAAGCACAGTTTAAAAATAATACTATCCTCAGACCGCGCATGCTTAAACAGTTTGAATTATGTCTGAAACAAACTACTGACAGATTTTAAAAGAATCCTAGCTTAAAATTACATTTATTTTATTGCCCTTTTACTCAAAATCTATTAACTTTTATTGCAATCTAATACGTTTTAGAGTGCCTGTCTATTACGATGTTTTTTTGCCCAAGAACAACACTGTGTGACATCCGTAAAACGTTTTTAAATGGTCCATCAGTAATTAAACTCTACTATTTAACATCTCTAGAATACCTACTTCCATACTTATCAGAATACAAATCGTTTACTGTTACTGTAGATATCAATTCAAATAATACACAGATAAATAAAGTTGACTACATTTTTTTTAGGAATAATCTGTGATATAACCCTACGCTTTAAGTCCATTGCGAAAATATGTTATCTTTATTAAAATCCTAGTGTATTTAACTTATAAATCTCAAACTTGTTCTAAAATTTGAGAGACGCTAAAATGGTGGTTCCCACCTTATTGAGACTGAGGCCCACAAGGGTAAACTCGTAGCATAACAAAAACGAGAAATAATTTAACTTGGAACGAAATACCGAAAACCGATAGTTGAATAGTTGAATTTTTTGGTTTGTGAGGCATTGGCATTACTTAGGTTAAACCATGTGATGATTTTCACAAGCCTGGATTTTTAAAACCATTCTATATCGCCTTTTGATTAGGGTTTAAAAAGTTGTTCGAGCTATTTATCCAATAATAATTGGCCCCTTTACCTCATAGGCCTGCTCATGTAAAATATTTGGGCTCCTTACTTCGACTATTTATATAATATTAATAGAGCACAAAAAGATGGGTATTGCAACTATGTTAAAAGAAATAAATCGGCTTTCAGTTCAGAATTATGTTTAGTACATTACTGATATTTATTTATAAAATAAAAATGACAGTACCATCGCATCAGATCTATTAGAAAAAATTCAATATAATTCGCAATATCACAACTATAATACAAGAAGCCAATCATGTTCGGCAAGCCATCACTAAAAGTTCCCAAATTACAATTTTTATTAAAGGTTTAAAAAATTTAATAGACTGCCTACAGAAATTAAAAAATAAATGTTTTCAAAAGTAACTTCAAACAATACTTGATAAATAAACAGAACGGATATAGTTTCGTGTGATAATACTCTAAACCTGCCCTTTTTAAGTATTTCCCTTAATTTATTGTTATTTTACCCCTTGTTTTACCCGCATTTATTATAATTTATTTCTGTTTTAAGATCATGTACTTTATTTTAAAAAATTACTTGATGTACTTGATTATTTACTAATGTTTAAATTATTAATAGTTTTGCAACTTATAGCTACAAAACTATTTTTGTGTTAAAGTAGATCCAATGTAATTTACAAAGGCCTTCTTTCAACATACAAATAAATGACAATTTTATAATTAAAATGAAAAACACAACAGAATACCTTGGTATTATAATTGATCAAAATTTCACATTACGTCATTAAAATCCCAAGGTAAATTTTTAAATTTTATTAATTGAGGAAATTTATGACTAGGAGTTTACTAATTATTTACAATTCGCTGATTGAATATGTAATCCAAAATTGTATAATTAAAATTATCTACAAAAAAACCAGCATTATATCGTACCTCTCTTTTATATAATAAAAATGTACTTTGTATAAGAACATTATATTATCTGTCTTGTTGTACCTTTATTTATGGAAAGCCTGAATTGAGATACACTACAAATTATTTGCAATAAATATCAAAAGAAGCATACATTTGACATTTAAGAGCCATTCACACATCACAGATAACATCTTGATACTTGACAGGCATAGCCAAGCATTATTCTGATAATTGTCAAATAAAATGGCCGGTTAATTATTCTATGGAGTTGCGACAGAGAGCCAGTAAATTTGATGAAGGTGTTTTTGTGACTAGGGGGCAAATAGTACTCTTAAGTTAGTACCACCATAAAAAAGTCATTTTTAAGAAACTGCTTATATAGCCTTCAAAATGGCTATGGTTGCAAGTATGAAGGTCGCAACCCGCCTTAGAAATTACACCTTTACTATCAACAGTTGTTGTTTGACAGGTCGTTAGAGAATATCTGCAATTTATGGAATGTTAAGAATGTTAGAAATGTTGACGATAGTAATAATTGGAATTCCTAAAATTCTAAGTTAGAAGTAATGATTCAAAAAAATTAAAACCGCAAGTCAATCGGAACTTTCGTTCTAGAGTTATAGTGCCGGCATACATACACACAGACGACCAGACGAACATTTTTTGTTGCATTTTCGTACTCAGAATGATCGGAAACATGAAAAAAAGTTTTAAAAATGGGGATAAAAAAATTTTTTCGTCTGCACGAATGCAATACTGAGGCCCCATAGGAAAGGCCTCCGTAATTTCATTATTTACATCAAATTTTTTATGATGATATCCACTCAAGATTATTGTATGGTATTTGTTTATGGGACGGTTCATCATATGCTGACAAAGTACTTATAATCTATAATATAAATTAGCTGCTGCTTCTTTAAGAAATTCATATCGACAATTTAAAATACTTTATGCTTTTTATTTTTTATAATCATTAAACTATACTTTTATATATCCTTATAAAAATCATTTAAATAAAACAAATATTTACTAACCATTTGCTTATAAATATTTGTGCCAAAGCACCAACAAAAACTGGAGTTAAACTATTTAATAAACTTCCCCAGATTATAAAATATGGGCAAAAATTAGAAAAATTTAAATCCAAATTATATTGTTTAGTATATTATTTTAAATATTTTACATAAGTCAGGGCCCCATGTGTTCTAACGCACACCAACATATTAGCCCAATCATTTTTTCATAAAAATTTGTAGGTACAATTCTTTTTTAGTTCGTTATGTGCACATAATAAGTGACCTAGTCAATAACTTATAACTACGTACATAGTTAAAATGGATTAATAAAAAAAATTGAAAATAAAAACATAAAAATACAAATCAAAGGTCAAAGAATAATTTTTTTAGAGATCTGTTTCAACATTTGTAAAATAGGTATAGCCCAATCGAATTAGGTGAAGAACAGGCTTGAGATTCTGAAAAATTGGAAGCAGCAATTTTCCTTCGGAATTCGTTGGAGGGGGTCTCTGGTAGTCTAAATTCAAAAAGTTGGGATTCCAAAGTTGTCGCTACCTCCGCCATCTTGATTTAAAGGGTTATTTTTTGTATCTTGAATAACTCATTTATTTTCAATTTTACAAGGAAAATAGTTTTTACAAAAGTTATTTAAAATTAAATTTCCTACAATTCTGCTTTTTTTTGTACGATCGATTTTTTCGATTTAAACCCGAAAAGAGGGGGTGAATTTTTGGTTATAGAATAACTCGTTTATTTTCAATTTTACGAGAAAAATTGTTATAAACAAAGTTGTTTAAAATTAAATTTCCTACAATTCTGCTTTTTTTTTGTACGATCGATTTTTTTCGATTTATACCCGAAAAGAGGGGGTGAATTTTTGGTTATAGAATAACTCGTTTATTTTCAATTTTACGAGAAAAATTGTTATAAACAAAGTTGTTAAAAATTAAATTTCCTACAATTCTGTTTTTTTTCTGTACGCTCGATTTTTTGTATTTACCCCTGAGAAGAGTGGGGGTAAACTCTTATCATTGTATTATCACGTTTCTTTTTAATTCCAGGTATCAGCAAAAAAAAACAAACAGAAAAAATAACGGTACAACATCAATAATAAACGTGACAATACAATACTTAGGTTCACCCCCACTCTTCTCAGGGATAAATACAAAAAAATCGATCGTACAAAAAAAACAGAATTGTAGGAAATTTAATTTTAAACAACTTTCTTTATAACAATTTTTCTCGTAAAATTGAAAATAAACGAGTTATTCTATAACCAAAAATTCACCCCCTCTTTTAGGGTATAAATCGAAAAAAATCGATCGTACAAAAAAAAAGCAGAATTGTAGGAAATTTAATTTTAAACAACTTTGTTTATAACAATTTTTCTCGTAAAATTGAAAATAAACGAGTTATTCTATAACCAAAAATTCACCCCCTCTTTTCGGGTTTAAATCGAAAAAATCGATCGTACAAAAAAAAGCAGAATTGTAGGAAATTTAATTTTAAACAACTTTGTTTATAACAATTTTTCTCGTAAAATTGAAAATAAACGAGTTATTCTATAGCCAAAAATTCACCCCCTCTTTTCGGGTATAAATCGAAAAAAATAGATCGTACAAAAAAAAGCAGAATTGTAGGAAATTTAATTTTAAACAACTTTGTTTATAACAATTTTTCTCGTAAAATTGAAAATAAACGAGTTATTCTATAACCAAAAATTCACCCCCTCTTTTCGG